TTGTCGAGTCTGGTCTTTGACAGATAACAAACGAATCATTTAAAAATTTAAAAGTATTAGAACCTCTTTATTTATTTATTTAGAGATTACATCATCCCGCAATGAATGGCTTTGTCTTTGGTTTCACTTTCCGTTTTGGGTGAAATGAATCAATTCTATTGAATGAATTTTAACTAAATCACTGAAACATTAACCTCACTAAACCGAGCTGATACAATGATATTGTGATGAGCCATGATACTTAGAGTGAGGGAAGGGTTGAAGAATATTTCTGTATTATTTTTGTATTCATGTATTATTATTTGTAAGTCAACTCAGACCATAATTAATAACAAATACCATTAATATCATATAAACTATACTACATTATGTTGTTTAAAATATCATTATCATTAGCTCAATTAATTAATTATTATAAGTAGCGGTAGTATCGAGTAAACTTGTAGCCACGATCCACGACCCACGACCCACACCCCACGACGCACGACCAGCAGTCAAACTCCGAAAAAGTAATACACGAACTCAATTCTTCTCTTACAGTTATTAATGGCCAGACGGCTCTCAGATCCGCCGTAACCTAATTTGCATAAATTTTTGTTGGTGGGCTAAGCTCGTCGTGCTAAATGCGCATGCGCTAGTTGTTATCAAGCCCCTAGAATTTCATGCTCTTCGCATGTTTGAAATCTTTAAAATAGTAGCAGTGAGGTCAATTCAAATTTAAAGAAGGGTTGATTACTCTATTCAGTTAAACATTCGCGATTCTAATGGCAGAATGAGCAGATGGTGAAAATAGATGGAGGAAAGGTTTAGATTTACGTTTTCAACAAGGGTTATGCATTGTCATATAAATCTCGTTTTTAATTGAGAATTAATGTGATAAATGAATGACTGTGGATCATTTAGAGGGTTTATTACATGTACAAACCAACAAAGTGACCACTTCCCTGGTTTGCTTCGTAGCTCAGTTGGTAGAGGAATGTACCAGTATCGCAGAGGTTATGGGTTTAACTCCCGTATAGGCCTGCATGTTTTTCAGGCTTTATTTTCCCTACTGGTTAAGTGGTGTTCATTACAGCGAAGATCACTCTCATATTCAAAAAACAGTATCTCAGACACATATATGTTATAGATATAACCTAAAATTGCTCGCAATGATTTCAATCAGTTTGGTTTGTTGTGTTTTGCACCAAAGATATTAGAAGATTTTTTCTTGGATTTATATCAGAAAAAAAAAGACTTTTGAATTATTAAAACTGTAGATTTCTTCTTCTCAATCTTAATAGTAGTTTTCTGTGAATGTTTCTCTGAAATGATGATAAAGACCAAACATCATGAGCATTTGCATATATGACAATGACAATGACAATGACATTGCTAACACCTGTATCATTTGCTCTGTAATTTTTGAGCTCCAAAACGTTAAAATGGTCCTAAAGATGGCTTTAAATTTTTTAATTATTGTAGCTGACACTTACACTCTTCTGTTTGTTACAGTATTTATCACATTTGTAAGGTATGACAAGTTCCTTTGGTGCGTACAGTTTATTTTGTTTCTTTATAAGAGCTTTTTGATAAAAAAAATTTAGTTTGGGAAGTTATGCCAATTCTAAACTCAAAGCTTTATTTCAAAATTGAGATCATTGTCATCTCAACCTAGGGTAAGATAAAGGCGCATGTACAATCTAAATAAAATTAAACGAGGCATGATCGTTAGAAACTTCCACCACAGCAAGCGACAGGTAATGCTGTTTCAGTTTTTTAAGTTAAACTTGTCAACTTTCTTATTTGAAATCCCACGGCAGGTTCTCACGCTAAAAGTGTTCTTGCTTTCACACGGTGTTTTAACCTAATCTTCAAATAGTTCTTTAAGTTTAGTTGTGTTTGTTTGATTGCTCTTAGTTCCAACAATAATCACTGGAATTAGACGTGCACGAACTGTTTATGGAGGCAGCAACTTGCACTTAATAAACCTGTGAATCTTCGGGTCGATCAGAACCAAACATCAACTGGGCCGAAGAGAATTAAGACACTCCACGAAGGAAATACTGGTGTGCAGCAAGAAGGAAAGGTGGAGACTTAAACAAAAGTCAGCAGGAATGATTCAGGAATAATTGACTGTGCTGCAGTTCATGTGAATTTTGTTTGTGTGTATATGATATATGCTCTAAAAAAACTTTTACTATAGTGTTAAACAGAGATGCGCTTTCTATTTATCTTTCTTTTAGTATGCGCTATCATTTAGTGGTAGTGATGGTAATGGCTTACAATCAGTTGCCGAGAGGTCTTAATGGCTTACCTCCCGTGACGTAAGCATTAAATGTTGTGTCAAGAAAACTGCCACTGTTTGTAAAGTACACTGTAGTCATGTATTACACAGCTGTCGCTCCATACATGTACCAACATGATATTTTGATTACAAGGCTCTCAGAGTTGAACCAGGGGTTCGCCTGTCAGGTTGTAAAAGACAAAATAGTGCTTCAAATTTTTCCTAGTTGATAACTATCTGTGTAAGATCTGTTGAATAATTTCATGAATGATATTGATTGTTTTAAAACATGTGAAATTGTAAGAAAGCAGAGCAGCAATTTAAACTTCGGGGCTGTGTTGTTCAAAGCTGGGTTAAGATAAACCATAGTTAGTGTGAAATCTGATTTCACATATAAAAGCTTTAAACTAAAGCTATTACATCAGTAATAACATCAGTACACCAGTAGTAAGATCAGTACACCAGTAATAACATCAGTACACCAGTAGTAACATCAGAATGCACATCCTTCATACTGTTCTCTATACATTTCCTAAGATGCTGACAGGAAGTATTACGTCTCTATATTAAACAGAGAAGCTCTTTTATTGGTCGAGCTAACACTGAGCCGGTTCTGAAATTTAGCATCAACAGGATCGGCTGAATCATCTGTTCTAATGCTGACTATACCATCACTGTTGAATTTTATGACACCAAGACTTAGACACGACGTCAGGCTGTAGTTCCAATTAAGCGTGATAGGAAATCCTTCATAAACCTGTTCGATGCCAGGAGGAAGCAATTCAGCTGGATTTGATGTTGTCCTAACCGGAAAAGGTTCATTCCATGTGACACCCCCGCCACCTAAAGGGGAATATTTTAGATCGCAGTTACATTGAACAACTCACGTTTTCGATTTCGTCTAAACAAGAACGGCTTTCCTCTAATTTTGAGTAATCTAAAAGGCACAGCAATCTGCTGCTGTCACTATAAGAATCATCTAAACTTAGTACAAACCCAGAACTGAACCGGAGGCCTTTAACAGGAAAGGGTTACAAGGTCACCCTTTCTTCTCTTAACGGCCATTAGCCAATATGAATTTCGCAAAAAGACGCTTTAAACGGCCCTCGAGAGCAAAAAATACCACAATTGCGTCGATTTACATTTCATTTAACTTTATTGAGGTATTCAGACCTAGAGGCAATGTGGATATGCAATTTTCAGAGCGTTTTTCATAACCCTCGAAGATTATGTTCGTCGCATGTCAACAACAATTATCAGGCACGAACGCATACTGTGGGTCTGCCTGTGGTGCAGTTTTGGCAAAGAAATCTGGAATGGCAGGAACTAACAAAACCCAACTTGAATCACAATTGGAAAACCTCGAAACCCGGTACATTAACCAGTGGTTTTACAAACAGCCCGGAATTTAATGAAGCCTATCGATTTAAATTACTTAAAAGCCTGATGAATTAAGGAAAATCTGTCGTAATCGTATAATTCTGTGATGAACGAGTGTGGTTTGTTTCCATCTCGTCGGCTGCCGTTGAAAAAAATATCAAATTATTTATATTTTTTCAGGTAAGGGCCTGTCTACATATAAGTGAGGGACCCCAGCTAGTTGAGGTACCCCACCTAGCCGCGATCGTTTGCATTTATACTTAAAGCAGAGCCTGAGAGATCGAAAGCACCAAGAAGCGGAAATACGTCAGTGTTATGAGGACTTCCTGGGCTGATGTCATAATTTACTTTCTGTTTGACTTGTGGATCGAGCCATTCTAAAGCTGTAATTAACAAGGTGTGATAATGCTTTCTGTATATTTTCTCGTTTCTCTTGTGAAGCGCGAATGACCGAAATTTTGTGAGATTGCTGGTCTGCTTGTAATTGTTGTTAAATTCTTTAATTGGTTGTCAACTTCCCGATCGAGTGCCATAATCGCTTGAACTTTGCACAGATAATTTTAACTTTGTTTCAGTGAAATGCAAGACTTAAATAATGGACAGTTTAAAAGAGACAACATCTTATGACTTTCATTGTTAAAAATTCTAAGTGAAACAAAGGAATCAGAATCTCAGTACTCTGTAAACATGTTAGGGGATAATTAAAATCGATAGAAACTGAGTGAGCCCTTTGATTTTTAAACTGCTTTCTTTATTTTTACAGAATAACTAGGCCATTATAAACCAATTGCAACCATTTAGAAAGTTTCATAAAAGTTAAGATTTTGTAATGAAACTGATCAGTACAAGGCGAAAAACTTACTTTTCTTGATGAATACCATCTAAACATGGTTAAACCGCAAGTTCAAAAAATATTACTGTAAAAATATTACTGTTTTCCCTACTGGGCCACCTTAATCAATAAAGGAATTTTTTTACGACAAAAGATTCATCCGCTTAATTTCAAAATATAACAAGAGGGACAGCAGATGCAACATTGGAATATTTTTGGTGTGGATTCGTAGGACATTTTAAAGTAAAATACATGTTTTGTGTAAAAGAACTTATAAAAAAATATATAACGCCAGGGGGAAAATTAGGGTTGCAGCTTTTAAACTCGTTAATACAAAATCGTTTGTCTTTCCAAGACTAAAAGTATAAAAATATGTAAGAATATATGAAAGCTGCACTTCGCCTCGCTTCGTTGTCAAACGGCTTGTTTTAAGGAGTTACTTAATCAGCAAAAAATATATAAAAATGTGAAAAAATGTAAAATATATAAGAAAAATAGATGATGTCATAGCGCTGCAATGTCAATAACTCCATCCCTTCCTGTAGGAGAAATCACTTGCTCACAACGCAAGATCGTCGACATTAACGTAGAGTCGATCATCGTAATTTTTTAAGTTTATAAGTCCCTGTAAAAAAAATAGATATACGAAAAAACATGAAAAATGGGTATAAATTATACTATACTCTGTTAAGCTTTCGAGGGTTTCTTCAAATTTTTACCTAGAAAGAGAGTATATTGCTGATACAATTAATTTTAGATAGAGAAGTCTTAGATTGATTGTCGAAAAACCAACTAACCCTAAACCTAACCCTTGAAAAACTAAGCCCAAAGTATTCACAACTATCAATCAGAACAAAGGTTAACATCAACCTTAACCAATAGAACTCAAAGTAGAATCAGGCAACCTCCTTTAAGCGCGGAAAAACGTTTGTGATCAGGCTGGGATTTCACGTTCGCTTTCCACTTTAGAAACTCAATTAAAAAATTGCTGTAAAAGCGAAATAAATTGAAACCATAAACTACATTTCGAAGCCTTCATGGTGACGCCGTTATCAAGTTAAGTTGATGGTGGTAGATTCTAACAATCAAACTTTGAAAAGGAAAAAAAAGAACACAAAGAGTCTCTTTGTAAAATTTTCTATTCTACCTTGTGCCGGTTTTCCATTTCTTTGAGTTTGTTCCTCAACTTCTCAAAAGATGGTCTCAAATTAGGGTCGTCTTTCCAACATTTTATCATTATGTCATACCTAAAAGGACGTCCAAAAATAGTTTAATTAGAAACGGTTCGACCTATCCCTAGAAAAAAACAAAAAGCGGCACAAATACTAACGTACGAGAAAAGCCATCATGAAACAGTAAAAACACGATATTATCATACAACTTATCATCTACGTGTTGTGGTTTAGGCATTCTGTATCCCTCTTGAAGTAAGTTTGCAATTTTTCTTCCATCCATCCTTGGATACGGTGAACCACCTGAATAGAGCAGGTAATGTTAACTTAGTCTAAAATGAAAAGCTCTACAGATGTATATTCATTAACAATTTTTTCCGCCTAAGGCCAGCGACTTTGGCTATCTAAACTGGTTTTGTATGACCGAAAACTAATGATAAAGAGACTGGTAAACCCTGCTTACTTCACGACTTCGTGTCCCCCCAATTGCTGAAGCTAAAATTACTGGACTGGTAATCTGCCATGTAATTTACCAATCGTGAATATCTCATAGAGGAGAACCCCGTAGCTCCACCTGTAAAACAAACGGGATACATTTAAGGAAGTAAAATTTCTTCCCTACAAAAATGTAATTAAAACATCTTTGGTGGTGAAGGGAAGGGGACATGGGGTGGGGAGGTACACATGCGCAGTGTCAGAGGAGTTGATCCCTGATCACTACCCATAAAAAATGAGGATAACCACTCCTCACTGAGATGACCTCACACCAGCAAAATAAAAAGACCAAAATACAAAAGTAACCAAATAACTTTTTGCAGACCTGAAAACAGTTCATACAAAACCATTCTCATTAAGCTTAGTGCAGTGTTCATATCTTTCTTGTACTCACACATCACTCCTGGTAGAATATTTTCCGTAAAGCAACGCCTCAATGGCAGTCCATTTTACAGGGAGACGCCCCTGAATAAGAAGCAAAAATGTAAGGAGTTGGCGTAGTTCTTAAAAAGTACTAACGCTCCCAATGGCAACAACACTGAAACGAAAGTTCCGGAAAACGGAGCAGGATTTACTGAGCTTGTTTTCTTTGAGCAGTCAATCCAGAGAGGCATCTTCACCCACACAATCCAAGGCTTACGAGAACATTGTTTTTTCTCAAAATCATTTATACCCTAGTTTTTTTTTCGTAAATGTTGTCCTCTTGCACATCTCTGGCCATTCCAAAGTCCGTCACTTTGCACGTTTCCCCTTCTCCAACCAACACATTACGAGCTGCAAGATCTCTATGAATAACCTTAAACAAAGAGAAAGTGTTTCTTTTGGAAAACAACCTTTAGCGAAATGAGAGGCTTAAGGGTGACTCAGTGACATGGGATGACATCCTAGGCAACGATTCCACAATTCAACAGAAAGTGAGGTATATTGGGAGACAAATAAGGCCGTATTCTGTAAGATGTTTCTCAAAGAATAATTACATCACTCACTGGTATCGATGACAAATAGGACATTCCATCAGCGATTTGCCAAGCAAACTTCATCAGCTGCTGTGAGGTCAGATTTGTTTGTGGTTTGATATCCGGGTCTTTGTAGTAAGTATCATTTAATCCACGGCTCTTTCTCAGGTAACCCAGCAGATCCCCAAAAGGAACATATTCGATCAACACCAACAGTGGCTCTAGGGAGACAAACAAAGTTCCGCAAATACTCGATTACATGCCGCAGATGGAAGCAAAATTACAAAGAAACGTCACTCTCCAATATTAGCCACAGTTACTTGGAAGTGTACGACGTTTATTCAACGTTTATGAGAAAATGAAGTATTAACTACCTTACGATTCGTTTATATTCACAATTATTGTAAATATTTTTATTTAAGGCAGGTCATGTTTTATATTCACGGTCTACTACCGGAAAGATTCTCGCCCTCGTAGCGTATTCACATCTTACCGGCCCACATCCGCAACATGTGCGTGAAACTTAAGAAGGCAGTTTTAGTCTCAGCCCATTTTTGATCCACCAATAGATTTTAGTGATCTTAGATCTCATTTACTGATTATACATACGCTGCTATTTAGCAGACAGTATAAAAGTGTGCCTACTTCTCTGCCGTCAAATAAACTCTATTGAGACCTCACACGTGTACGCAAGAATAGAATATGCCCAAACTGTAAGCGTCGGTCAGCGAATTTTCCCAAAAGTTAGCAGGAATGGAAAAAAAAGGTAATAAAGTGATGGGGCGAGGTAAATGGACTATCCCTTCAACAAAGGCTCCCTCAAGATCAACGGCGCGCTGAGCGATCGATCTGTTTGATAAGATATCCTAACAGTGACACTCTAAGAATCGTTTTCAAGACAGTTACTTAGGCTTAGGCTAGGAGTACCATGCGGACCTCTGAATGTGAGGCACACGAAAAGTATGGTCTCTACTGTTCGTACCCATCACTTCCAGTGTCAGTTTTGTTTCCGCTGATTTCTTTTACTTCGCCGAAAAAGGAAGGAATACTCGTACTCTATTTTTACCCGAAGATCGCTTTAATAGGTTACCAGTCGTTTCGTACCCAGCCAGGTCAATTCGTACCCGGTTAGTTGGGTTGTTTCGAACCAAAAGTAATAAAGTATGTTTTATATCTTAAGTATTTTTAAAGAAAGGTCGGTCTTTTATTTTGAATAGCAATATTCCCTGCGTTAAATAAGTTTTTTTTCTGTGACGTCCATTTTAATTTACGCGACTGGCGAATGTTGTTTGTTTTCCTTTGTTAGAATAAGTGAATTTTTACCTTTAATAAAAAGGGGAGGCAAAAAATTACACTGGTTGTTGTTGATAACAAAGTCACAACTGCAAACAATAGACTTGTTCTTTTTAAAAAATACCACTCAATTAGCGCGAGGCAATAATCTAGTTGTTTCTCTCGAGGAGGTCACAAGTACACACAACAGAATTTTGCTTGAATCTTATTCACTTGACTCCGCTTGCCTGTCGTACGCAGAAAAAGTCGTACAACGGAGATCTGTTCATGTACTCGCACGTGAAGCATTTCTGGTACAATCCGAATCAAAATGGGTATGAATGGACTAAATTTGGGTACGAAACGGCTCGGTAAGAAACGACCGTGCGTAAGAAACGACTTGATACCCTTTTAAAGAGTAAAATGTTAAGTACTGTACTCAATAAGCGCCCCCCTCGAATTTGTTTTTTTCTTAATAAGCGTCCTTGTTCTAACAAGCGCCCCTTTTGGGTTAGCAGTCTCATTCCAATGAGCGCCCCTAATCTGTTTCGGTGATAGCATTGTTAAAGTAAATGAACATTGAGATCAACCGTGGTACATCTTCGTTCATTTTTCACATGTAGCCTCAGTACAAAAAGCGTGGCCTTAGTCTCAGTCTCCCAACTATTATGTACATGTGAGTGCACAGTCCCTTCAAACAAATGAACTGTTTGCCGCGTCTGCTTGGCTCTTCGTTCTCTCCAGGAAGGATGCAGAGGCAACAAGCCCGTTTTCCTTTTCAAATAAACAACAAAGCTATGTTTCGCACTTTCTGCTGGTTCTTATATGTCCCTAACTACCGCCCTGTTTCAAATAAGCACCCTCCTGTTGTCCACCAAAAGTAAATAAGAGCTCCGGGCACCACATCAAATCATTACAATTTACTATATAAATTAAGAGGAAAGATATCTTAAGCTCAAACACTAACATACCGAGAAAAACGATGCTTATTTATATTTTAAAACCTATTTTTGGTGATGATAAACATTTCAGTATTTACCAGACTTGGTAACGCATCCCAGGAGTTTGATAACGTAAGGATGAGGTTTAAGTTGTTTCATCAATTCAAGTTCAGACAACAAATCCTTTCTCTCTGATTCAGAAGCGTTTTCTGCAACAGGATTTCCGATCAATAATCGTCGAATAACATTTCAAATGAATCAATCATATCATTCAACTGTAACATTATATAGGTACACGAAAACAGATGGATAAATCAGTAGATAGACAGATAGATTGACATATCGACAGATTGATAGTGAACAGAAAGATTGACGTATAGATATATTGATAGATAGAAAGGTAGATAAAGAAGGTATAAATCGATAGTTAGATAGGATAGATAGGTAGATAGATTGACAGACAAACAGACAGACAGACACGCAGATAGACAGACAGACAGATACATAGATAGATGAATATATAGTCAGTCTGTCTGACGAGCGCTTAGGTGCAAAACTCAGAGTAACAGAGAATCGATGCGTCCTCTTTGATTCTTTCACATATATATATATAGATGAATATATAGGAAGTCTGCAGGTCGATTTTCGCGTGGAACAGTGCTCAATACGTTGAAGCAGAGCAGAATAAATATTATGAGAGGAAAAAAGGACGTAACTACATTTCCCGACAAGCCTGTTTCGTGAATCGCTTCACTCTTCATTAAACCCCTGAACTACATTTCCCGACAAGCCTGTTTCGTGAATCGCTTCACTCTTCTTCACCCTGAAGAGTGAAGCGATTCACGAAACAGGCTTGTCGGGAAATGTAGTTACGTCCTTTTTTCCTCTCATAATATTTATATATATATATATATATATATGTATGTGTGTGTGTGCGTGTGTGCGTGCGTGTGCGTGTGTGCGTGCGTGTGTGTGTGTGTGTATAGGTGGCTAGATGTATAGCGATGATGGAATAAATGATTGTAGTTACACTTCGTGAGTCCGTTACACGAGACTTTATTTCTTCTTTTTGCGTAGCTCGGATATATTTCAAGCGCGCGCGGGCGATTAATGAATCGATTCTTAGGTAAGATATACACGTCATTAACGCACTATAAATTTAGATAGCTTACCTTTGCTACCTTTACCCCAGTTTTCTACATGGAGCAAAGTAACTTATGTTGAGAGCAAGATAACTTTTTTGATGGAGCGATCTAACTTTCGAGTGGAGCGATCTAACCTTTGGTTGGAGCCATCTAACTGGCAGCGATCTAACCATGGTGCGATCTAACCGTAATTCGTGTTGAGGCATGTGACACAATTCAAAAATTTAAAGCTCGATTCAGCTGGACGGTTTTTTTTTTCTATTTAAGGAAACTAAAAGTCAAAGGTGTCTAGAGAGTACTAAATCAGATCAAATTACTCGTCGCTTAACTTTACAAAGTCCGGCATTGGTCATTAAAGAATGCTTTACCAGTTTTTGTCCCACTTGGAAGCTCTAAAGATAGTACAAAAATTACACTCGATTAATTTGAGGAAAACAAGCATAGCTGATATTTTTTTGGATTCATGTGGGCCACACATTTTTTCCTACTAACCATCTCAGACAAAAAATGTAAATGAATCATGTTCCTAAACTACTGCTTAAAAGTGAATTTAGGTAAATAAAAAGCACCAGGTTTTGACGAAATGCACATCAAAAGTGCACAGACATGATGCATACACTGTCCTATTGGTGCTCAAATTGGGGCTGGTTGTGGTTGTCGTTATCATCATTATCACTATACACCAAGTTTTCCTGCTACAGTACCAAATTTTGAGTTAAATACAGTAGCTTCCACACCACAAAAAAATACGCTTACAACCAAATACAGGGCATGGACATTCATAAATCAACTTGAAAAACTTTTTTATGAAGTGTTCTGAGGACTTACCCCCATAGGACCCATTAAGGGCTGATGTGGCACCTCCACCTGTTGGTTCCACATCAGTTCCTTTATAGCCAGGTTTATCAGCAAATGCCTCTTCAAGCTGCAAGTACGTAGGCATTTCTATCATTTGTCTTAAAATGTTGCTGTACATGTATCACACATAAGAAATGGGGATGACACCAAACATTATGTATTAAATTGAACATGGCTGTTTTGACGAGAATCAGCTGAGAAACAGTCTCTGAGTATTAATCAGTTGTTTCTTTAAAGTGTTACTTCAATGAATAATTGTTGTTCTTCTTGTCACTTGCCTCATATTTTAATTTTGAAAAAAAAAGCCCCAGGCCTCTTACTGTCCTAAATGCAGACCGTGAGCAAACACCGAATAATACGTAAAAAGATTCTGACAAGCTTTTCAAGTTCAAGATTTGACGGAACTCTTACATACTGTGTGTAATTTAGGAATTCAAGAAACACTGTGGAAATAAATGAAATATTCTCCACAGATTCTCCACTAGCCAAATTTCCTTTTAATCATCAGTGATTGGTAGCTTTTGAATCATTTACATACACATTGGCCACTCTGCAGGTATTGCTGGTATCATCAAGGACTTGTGAAAGAGGAATAGTATTCTTGTCACAAACTTGTTCTGGGTCATTACATGGAGTCCAAGTGTAAATAGGTGGAGGTTTCCCTTCTGCTCCACAGCTAAGAGTTAAAATTTGCTGTACACCAACAGTATACTCAAATTGAAATTTGACTGGATCAGTACATCGAGATGGAAAATAAAAAATCAGATTAAAAAAACAGCATCTACATAAAGAGACATCTGAATGACTTGTCTTCAATAGCTATACCATGAGTGGTCCAACCCTACCAGTACACTTATATACAAGAGGGTATTCTTCATCTAGTTTGATGTTTTTGAGTTGGATTCACTCACATGGGTTTGCAAAATGTTCTCCTAATTTGTCAGCATTTTTAATCCAAACGTTTTTGATGGTATTTCTACTTTTGGGGATGCTTTGCAACCAAAAGCAAACAAATATAAATCATCAAATCATTATGTACTCTATTTAGTTATACCACGTGAGATTAGAAGTTGTCAAAAGTTTAATTCTCGACAAAGAGCCAGTTCCGGAAAAAAGGCCAAAGTAGCCTCCAGTACCACCTAACCTAACAGCCTTTAATTTTTATGGTAATAAGTATGGTGACTACATATCTTGTGATTAAAGATGTTATTCACAATATCAAAGGCTTTCATACCACTATTTCAGCTCACTTTAAACAAGAGATGTTTCTCAGCTGAGCAACAGACCAAAATCGTATTAAACATGATTTGTTACTAGGTCTCAGCAACTTTGTAGTAAATCGTTTCTGCTTCCAGACATCAGAGTTTCTTCATTCTCACTCTCATGACCATTATTACAATCTTTCAATCAGTAAGGGAGTGAACATACCAAGTTGGCAAATGAAAGTGTTGCAATCATTTCATTCAGCTCACCAAATACCTTATGTAGTGCAACTTGAAACATACTCCCTTCGATGTGAGGTTTTTTGTTTGTTTGTTTTATAGTGACCATTTTACGATTAAAGGGGATTTTTTGAAAAATTGAGCTTTTAGCCCTGCATGGATTTACTTAGCCAAATATGAATACAAGTAATTGATAGAACAGTACATTATACAACACAGAAAATATATGGAAAGTGCATCTCTATTTAAGGTTAGTCAATGTTTTTTATCAATGCATACTCATGAGTAACATGCACGTAAACTGTTCGGTTCTCTGGTTTACTGAAGCCAGTGAAGCCATTTTATGCTATACAAGTAAATGTTCCCGCATCAGTTCTGCTGACGTTTGTTATAGTCAGCACTTTTCCTTCTTGCATCATGCACACCAGTATTTCCTTGGTTCCCACGCTCCTCTCTGGTCCAAGTGACGTTTGGCTCTACTCGATCCAATGCTTTGCAGATTATTCTCAATTTTTTTCTCAGCTAAACTAAGCACTATTATTTTAACTGCAGTTTCCAAGAAATAGTTGTAGAAATTGTTATCGAGACCCATGGGAGCTATTTTACAAAAACGTTCTTTTAAATATTAATGTATTTCGTCCACCAAGGTGTGACTTTTGCCACTCATTGCTCAATGTAGTTTTTATGCAAGTGTGTCTTCGTTAAACATATAAATGGGTATATTGAAAACTTAAAAACCTTGAAATTAGACCCATTGACTCTCACAATACCAAACAAAAACTGTGTAAGGGATTTCTGATTTTCATAATTTATCTACTGCAAAACAAACAATCATGTTTTCTTTACCATTTAGCTGTCATGATTTGGATGCTATGTCTAGACAGAATTTCATCGGGAAAAATATTTTAGTCCACTTGTCTAGTTTTTCGTGCGATAGAAGAATTTTCTTCGTCCATCTGACCCTTTTCCTTTCGAGGGAAACGAATTTGGGCGGCAAAAGAGCAGTTGGAAAAAATTATCTGCTACTCCGTAGCAATTTGCGCAAGATTTTTTCTATTTAACAAATAGAGAAGCCTTGACTGTGCTCTGTTCTGTTATAAAGCGCGCAGGAAGCGGCTAGAGCACGAAAGAAGTGTAGGGAGAAACACGAGACGTAGACGTAGTCTCGTGTTTCTCCCCATTTCTTGAGTGCTGCATTTCTGCAGTGACTGGTGTGACTTTTCACTAAACGTATCGGAAAGGATATCAGAGCAAGCTCTTATTTTTTCACTCGAAGGGCGGTCGATGTAGGTTCTGAGGCTTGCTTTACAGTGATGACCGGAGATCGCCATGATGAGTGAGCCGCGATGGACTTCAGCATGATCATATTCGCTCAGACACCTTCATGATTAGTATGAATTTTAACAGTTATGCCAGTTTGGTTATATTTCACATCATTTCTGTTTTATTTTGTTTTGTTTTTGAACACTGAACTTTACATGCTCTATGAGTGTTAGCTGTTTGATTTTAATTTCCGTACGTAAGCTTGCAATCTAACTGAGCGTTAATTAATCTTTAAAACTCGGAATGTCTATTTTGTTTTTCCTTTGAGGATTTTCGTGTCTGCTCACGTTTTAATAACGTAAATTACGGCGCCTGGTATGTTTACAAACCTTTATTTGGTTCTTCTGTTGCAACTTGCCGGCTTGCTTATCCCGAAATTTCAATTTCAATTTCAATTAGCGGAAAAAAGCTATAAAGAAGTCTCGGAAAAGGCGTAACATAGTACAATTTGGCAGATGGCGTAACAGCTTTAGCTCAGCTCTATGGTCTATACTCTCATAGAGCACGCTCTTTCCACCAATGACAGCGCGCGTTGTATCTGAACTAAAAACTCTCATAGAGCACGCTCTTTCAGCCAATGACAGCGCGTTATATCCGAACTTTATTATAATTCTTTTTAGAGTGAGATGGGTTTGTGATTGACATATGAACCATTAAGTGAATTTTTGGTCAATTAATTTTAGTTTTATGCGACTGCAGCTAAAAAACTTGGCAAATATTTGAATTCACTCTCAGTGTGACCCACCCTTAATGCTCAATACAAATGACTGGAGGCCGCCGGTCTTAAGTGGATAAAAAACTTCGTAAATCATGGCACACTCTCGTGACAAATGTTACAATTGAAAACTACATGCATTTGTAACGTTTCAATGCCTAGTTTCTCTCAAAATCTTTCACTGAAAAAGAACAAAAACTATGCCTGTATCCACTACGAGGTAATCATACATATTTGTTTGGTAATTCAAAAAGAGGTGACTGCACTGAGTAATAAATGAGAAATCTACTTACATCGACATCCATGTTGGTACACGACAACAAAGAAAGAAAAATTGGAAGACTGGTACCCAGGGTCTGAACTCTGAACTCTGAACTCTGAACTCTGAACTCTGAACTCTGAACTCTGAAGTCCGAAGTCCCTTCTCGCCTTTAGAAGACAGAAGGACGAAAAAGAGATTTGTCTTTCTTACACAAAAAAGATTCGCCATTTTTAACCGAAGTCGAACCCAGTCTTTGCTCGGGTCTGAGTTTGACAACGTTTTAAAAATGTCGGCTCTATAAAAGCAATCATAATCATTCAGAGTTGATAACGAACCTGTTATTTTACCACGTAGACGAATAAAAAGGAAGCTCATATATATAACGAATTCTAGATCGGCACTTCGTTTCGTTCACCTATGATTTTTCCTCAGAAACCACATGTGTTAGAATGTTTTTCTTTCAGTTAAAGGGGTTCGACCGAACCACCGAACCACCCCTGTATCCACCTCAGAGGCTGTTTGTTTGTGAAACAGCTAGTCAATACGTTTCTAGTTTTAACAATTCTAATGCATTAGGGTAGTTTTGTATTGTTAGTTCATCCGTTTCGAACTTTGCCCCAAACACCCCTAAACCAATCAGAACCTCCATCTAAAATGCCGTCATCATTCAATAGCCAATCACTTCTCACGTTTGTCTAACTTTATATCAAGAGGAAGTTGTTCTATCTTCGTTTGTTTCTGATAATGATGTCTTTTCATTGGGTTCAGTGAAGTACTTATCTTTGGGAAACAAGGAGTTATATGTAAAATGATTTGTCATTTGAAATATATCTTTGTGTGGATTTTTCTTATACCCCAACCGACAGGTAATGTACTTATGTGGGATTTTGTTGTTATATTTTCATTATTTACTTTCTTCTTTCGAATCAGGACTCGATCGATTTAGCTTGAAATTTACTTTATTTAGGTGATTTTTACATTGACAGCAGCAGACTGAGCTGCCTTTTAAACTGTATACGGTGTTTTAATCCAAAATTATAGGAAAGATTTTCCTCGTAAGCATGAATTGTTGTAATATAACTGCGATCTAAAATATTCTCCTTCAGATGGCGGAAGTGTCACATGGTATGAACCTACTCCGACTAGGACAACATCAAATCCAACTGAAGTACTCCCTCCTGGCATTGTGCAGGTTTATGAAGGATCATCTGCCAGACTTGATTGGAGCTACAGTCTGTCTTTAGGTTTAGCTTTTGGTGTCATAAGATTCAATGGTGATGGTATAGTTAACTTTCAAGCAGATGGTTCAGCTGGTCCTGTCCGTGCTAAATTTCAGGAACGGTTCAACTTAAGCTCAACTCCAGGAAGAGCTTCTCTGTCTATCTCCCCTGTGACTGTTGCTGATGATAAGGCTAATGGAGAATTTAGCTGTGAGTTAATTGACACCAACGCTGATACTTGGAAACGAGCAATTCAAGTGCAAGTCGTAGGTAAGCTTGACAGTGTTGATGACTAGAAGAAAGGCGTACGCTAACTGTACTTTTCAAAATGTTAGTGATGTGTGTTACATCTGAGACCACTGTGGTAGATAAATTGTGAAAATCCGAAATGATTGGATGGGTTCTCATCCTTCTACTTTTTGCACTTATTGTACAATTTAGGTATGTTTTTTTTGCTCAAAAGTATATCACAGATCCAATATTACATTTTTGGGTGATATAGATATAGGTATAGTTGCAAAACCATAATTTTCAGGAAAATATCTATAGCAGTTTGATGTGACAGGCCAGAGTACAATTCCACTATTAGGCAATTTTAAGTTCAAGTTTATTGCGGATTGAACTGGCTGTAGCAACACCTCTTAATACATGTAGCTGCTTGTTGCAAGCAATGAGGGAAGTTCTTAAACCACAAGCCCTTCTCCATTTCAGCAAGTGTTTTTTTTTTCCATTCCTCCTGGGATTTCCCTTAGCTCACAGTCAAGGACTATTTTCCATTTAATCCTAATTTAAGCCTACTTAGCAAAGATTATTGTAAAGCGACCAAAACTATAGCCAACAGATGTTTCCAGGATTGAAATCAAGAACCATGATGTTTTGCTGCCACATTAACCTTGCAGGAATCATGAAAAGAATCCAGAAAAACTTAGTAGCCTTTTGAAGGTCTACTCAGAATTTCTTAAAGCAGACATTTGTGCATATTAACCCTTTAGCTCCCAAAATCTGACTGTTAATTCTCCCTTCTAGCTGCCACACATTTCCCTGTAACTTAGTGATAAGCACTTGGTGTTAGATCAGGACAACAACTTGTACCTGATAAGTTTGAGAATTCTCATTATCTCTTTGCTGGATAAGGTAGGGATATTATAGGGAGAAGTTACATGTTAATCACTCTGGAAGTTAAAGGGTTAAAGCACATATAATGGATTATAATCCAGGGATTGTTCTTGTATAATTTGCACAATCATAACATGTGAATTTAATTTGCATGTACAAGGTTTGCGAAGAACATTTAAAATCATGTCAACAGTTTTAATTATCACTTTTGCATGTTTCTTACATGTGTGCCTGCCATTCAAATATCCTTGAAGTTTACTTGTGATTTTTTGATTGCTCTGTAGTTCCAACAAATATCACTGGAATTAGAGGTGAACCAACTGTTCTTGAAGGCAGCAATTTGCAGTTAAGCTGCGAAGCATCAGGTCAACCAGAGCCAAACATCACCTGGACCAAAGAGAAGCCTGGGAACCAAGGCATTACTGGTGTGGTGCAAGAAGGCAAGGTGCTGACTATAACAAATATCAATAGGAGTGATGCAGAAACATTCACCTGTACAGCATACAATGGCATTGGTAAACCAGAGTACCAAACAGTTCATGTGAATGTTACTTGTGAGTTTGCTTTGAAAAAAACTTTGACTGTAATGTTAAACAGAGATACACTTTCTGTAATTTTCTGTTTTTAAATGTACTATGCTATCAATTGCTTAATTGTATTAATGTTTAGCTAAGTACATCTAAATTGCAAGGCTCCAAGCTCAATTTTTCAAAAAATTGCATTTTGGGGACCTTCACTTCTAAAATGGCTGCCATAAAAAATCCTTCCCCTCCTCAAGCATCCCTTGAATGAGCCTGTGGATGATCAGCATGTATCAGGGAAGCTCAGGTGACATTCAAATTAGAAATGGAAACCATTTTTCAGAAGCTAAACAAGTATGATGTTGATCACATTGACAATCTGAGAATAAGCAGTAACCACAATAGAAACTAGCAACTCATATATTTTTTGTAAGGTAATACTGAGAATTCAGAAACAAAATACCAGTAGTGCATTTTTTCTACATCTACAAATCTGAGTTTCACTTTTTCAAAATTACAATTTATTGAAAGCTACTAACAAATCAGCAACAACTCATAATAAGATTTTGATGAGCACTGTACCTTAATATGTGGTGCAGTATTGGTGTGATTCTAATCGAATAATGTTAAATGAACAACATTATTATTATCCTAAACAACTTAAAGAATTTTTACAAGAAAAAGTATCTCATTTGTTTTCTGGTTTAGAAGTTTCAATTAATTGTAATGTTTCATTATAATTATGTATACTCTGTTTAAACTGTCATTTGAAATAAACTCTCATAGCAGATTGTATTGTCAGCACTATCACTTCACACAGTTTCATGGATGTTAACAAATTTAATCCTCATGAAGTTGAACTTTTTGCAACCCACACAAGAGGCCTGTCTGGCTTATATACTTGTATATCCCTTCACAAGGTATATACATATTAGCAGTAATCTTACATAATTGAATTTCATACTTAAAAAATAGCTTAATATATACTCCAACCTTTGTTATTACAGTAGTGCTATGTGCTATTCAAAAATAAAATCCATTTCCCCATTAGCATTTTCCAAGTTATTAAAAATTTCTTTTCAAACTTAACTTCTGCTATTTCCAATTGTCTTTAACTCTACCAATATTACATTAAACAAAAGAATATACTTCAAATCAGCCAATTCATGAATTAGCTGGCTCTTTAAGAGCCCCCTGATTAAATCTTATTTTTATTTCCAATTATATGTACAGATCCAGCCAAGATTGTTAATTTTCAAACTGAGCATTTTGTTGTTGTACAACAAAGTCTAACTCTTAACTGTGGAGCAGAAGGAAACCCTCCTCCTACTTACACTTGGACTCCATGTGACTCAGAACAAGTTTGTGACAAGAACGCTCTTGATATTTCACAAGTCTGTGAGGATGTCAGCTACACCTGTAATGTGGCTAATGGACTTGGATCTGATACGAAAACTACTAATGTTGGTAAGTTACTGTTTAGTTTAACTTGTTTAATGCTTAATAGTAGGAGATTTTTTGCTCTTTCTTTAAGCCATTTTAAAGGCAAATGCGATCTCATGATGATTTTTTTTCTTCACAGTCATTGAAGGAGACTGGATTGCTATAGCAATAAACATCACTGATGAAAGCTGTGCTGATGGAAAATACAATGAATCTGTACTGTTAAATGGATTTGATAAAGTGGTAACAACTTTCAAGTGTCTTTTTACTTCTTCTACATTATAGTTAAGCTCAAAATTACATTGTTCTGGGTATGTAATATAACTCTGCTACTACATGTGTGCCAATCACTTTTCATGTTTCTGGTTGGTAAGTAGTGCTGGTTGCTTATAAGATTTCTAAATTCATTGATGTGTGGGAGGTGAATGCATGCTTTGCTTCTATGCACACAACATTTATGTACTCTTTTAAAGTTTGAAAATCAGTCTGATTACATCACAACATTTACAAGATTGCTGGAAATTGGCTGTGTTTCTTTTTGCTTTTTTATGGACCAAGAGACTGCTTTTTGTAACTCTATCGCCAACATTGTCCAAAAATTACCAATTTTTTAATTCCACTCCAAGCAATGTTTTTCTTGTGCTAGATCTAAGCAAGCATTATCCCAAGTTGGCAAGTTGGGCCCATCTTGCTTGCTTGACTAGGTAGCTGATGAGAACATAATGTATTGCTTCTTAAGGGCTCTGCCAGTGATATAAATAAGTCTAGGTAATTATTAGCTTCATTCATTACACATATGTGTACTTTCTGGTAATCATGAATTGAGGTTCTAATCAAGTTTCTTACACTCAAATAAAGTCTCTCCTGAGCATTGAGAAATCTTTAATAGATGCATGAGGACAGTTGTTGTCTTACTTAACATTGTCTGTTAATTAGTTCTGTTTTTACAGAAGCTGTCAATAATATTTTCTGATAGACAGTAAAGCAAAATTGGCACATTCAACATATTTATGAGTAGACAGTATCAGGTTCATGGAAGAAATGAACCTCTTTGATTTTGGGCATTTAATACAGTGTACTTCACTCTCCTATTGCATTTCAGTTCCAAGAGGTTTTCACTCATTATGAAAGAGTGGAAGTGAGAGATAAAAGGTTAATGTTAACCACCAGTATTCATTAATTTAGTTGCTCTCCTTTATAAATTTTATTTTTCCTCTTTGTAATATGTTCCCCTTTAATGCAACCTTCATTTGTTTTCTTTCCCAAGGTGCAGTACTGTGAAGCTAGCACTGAAATTCAACTCCATCACAAACCAAACACATGTTATTAAAAGTCTTCATGATGCAGCCAAAGATGGGTATCTTGGAAAGTTCCCTGTTTGTCCTACATGTATAAATGGGGCAGGATTTTGTAATGTTACACAGCCAACACCAACACCTGCAAATCCCTCTAACTGTAAGTTTTGTGATACTTCACTAAGATGTTCATAAGCTGGTATGTGTTGCTAAATCCATAATCCTGCCTGACGATTACGAGCACATTTTCAGCATGTTTTGACGTATACATGTATTCATTTAGAATAAATGAGACCAAAGTGACTTAAATGATTCAATGCACTTGTATCTGTGCACAACATAAAAGGAACAAATATAAGAGGCAATAGCAGTTTGAACTTGAGTTGTAGTTGGTGATAATAACCGACTGGTTTGCTTTCATAGTTGTAGAGAGCCATAACTTTGCAGTCTGAAACATCGTGCAAGTCTGATATTCTTTAAGGCTGTGGAGACTTACATGTGTTATTGATATACCTTGAATGAGCACCTCCCCTTGAGTATGTGCCCTTTCCCCTTCCTATCCTCCCAGGGTTTTTGAGAGTTGTCCATTACAGACACAGATTCTATCGGAAAGTACGTGTTTTTCATAGTATGTTGTGAGCATTGACATTCCTGTGGATGAAGATGGTGAATCTTACCAATTTAAAGGGTTCAATGCCAGGTACTCCTTTGAATGCATAGTAGTCACTCCATTTTAGTTGGGGATTGTCATCTCAATTTACAGTTGTACTCGTACATGTACTACAATTTTTTACTGCTTTCTGCTTTTCCCATCCAAACTTGAAAACACAAACGGTCACACAGGCAAAAGCAACCTTCACTTGAGAATAAGCGCAAACATCTCATTGGTGTATACTATGTTAGTGAGTTGCTGTCTTTAATGTTTTACACTTAGTTTTTATTTGTGTTGGATAGCAGTTTACTCAAATAGTGTCATGTTGTGATCATTCATATTCAGTCTCTGTTCCACTAGCATCAAATCAATAACTTGGTCACATTCTCTGACTCCTTGTCTCTTTAAAAAAAGAAAAAGCTAAAATCAATGAGATGATATTTCATTTTGCACCACACAAAGTATTTGGAGAGCCGAACGACATGATCACAGCACTTTCATTGGTATGTCAAATCCCTTCTTTACCCCTTGCCTGTTAAAAGATGGTATTAATAGTTAAGAGTGAGAGTGGAGAAACTCAGATTTCTGGAAGCAGAAATGATTTACTACAAACTTGTGGAGATCTAGTAACAAATCATTATTAATATGATTTCGGTCTTTTACTCAGCTGAGATACATCTCTTGTTTAGAGTGAGCTGAAATAGTGGCATTAAAGCCTTTGATATTGTGAATATAGCATCTTAAATCACTAGATACAGTGTACCAAAGAGTTTTGACTGATGGGAGAGTTGGACAGTGGACAGAAATAAAGAAAATCAGAGATGTTTCTGTGAGAGAATTGAAAATAGCGTTAGAGAGAGGAAAGGTGTATCAGTTTGCCATTACTGCAACTAATGAGCTTAGTGAAAGCCTGAAACAAGAGAAAGAAAATATCCAGCAAGTTAAGGCAGAAGGAAGTAATTTAAATGAATCTTATTTTCCCCTTTCAAAGGTTTATCCTTTTCTTTTCTTAGGTTTAATGCCCTTTCCGTCTCATCAATATCGAGGTATTTACGGGTGAATTCTTCGCTTGCAAAAACCTGAATCAATGTGAAAAATTTCACTTAAGTCGCAGTTGTTATTTGTGCGCCAACTAGAGGCTTATTTGCTGATGTTTAGCAGTGCATTTTACTACATTTCAGTTAACAAGTTTATTTAATAATAATAATTAAACGGCAGCAGTTACACTCATAGCCGATGGCTGTGTCAATAATATCAAATTCAGAAATTACAGTCCTATAGGGGACTTATTTATCATGACAGGGAAGCGACCCTTGACATGCAAACGCATTGCAAAGAGACAGAGCTATCCATCAGGCGTAAACAGGGGAGATGGACTCCGGGGTCGCTACGTTGATCACTTTTTTCACCAGAGAGGAACTCTATTGTTTTTAACCACTGTGAAATACCTTCATTCGGCTCTAAAATAGAGTTTTTATCCCCACAGACGGCTCGGAAAGCGCAACAAAATGTAAGAATAACAAAGAAATTGTTAAATGAATTAAAGTTCACAAAGCAACCAGGTGCATAATCAGATATGGTTTAGTGCCACTCTGGTTTTAATTAATAATTGGTTCATACGTCAGCGTGTGTTTATCGAGATATGAAGCATGCGGGAAGTTTGGAGAGCACGAAAGATGTGTAAGAGTTGCCGGAGGCGTAGCCTTGAGCAACTCTAGCTTCTTGAATGCTCTCCAAACTTTTCAAGTGCTTCATATCTAGATGAACGCACAGCTGACGTATGAAGAAATTGTTTTATAACATTTTCAAATTTTTTTTCTCAGAGGGATTTGTTTGCTGACGTCATGAGTGTGCACAGTAGGAATATGAAGCACGCTCACGCAATTGAATTTGATTAGACAAATTTACTAGCTATGTTATAAGATTTAATGAATGAAGTTACAACTAGTAATACTCCTGATGAGAAGGAACCAGCGACTGGTTTTGCCGTTATTCCTTACATTCATGGTGTTACGGAACCCATCAAGAGAATTTTGAATAGCCACAACGTTTATGTTGCTCAAAAACCTTTTCAGACCTCAGGGCATATTTTTGCCAAACTTAAGGATCCTATCACAAATGAACAACTAACTGGCGGTTTTTACTCTATTCCGTGCAATGGCTGTGATCACGAATATATCGGACAGACCAATCGTCAGTTTGGTACACGTTTAAAAGAGCATCAAAGAGCGGTCTCCTTTTGTGAAAAAGAAAATTCAGCTTTGTCGGAGCACACATGCCTAATTAACCATACAATTGGGTGGGATAATTATAAAATTATCTCCTCTTATCGATGTTACCACCAGCGCCTTTGTTTGGAAGCCTGGCATATCAACTCTGCCCACGCTCCCTTAAATCGTGATGATGGCGGCTTACTGCCTGACGCATATTCACACCTCCTCAGAAAAAAGGGCAGCTAATTAGTGAGCGTGTAAAAGAACCTCTTTGTGCAAAGATTAGATCACCCCTGAAAGGCACTAGACAGGAGTGTTGAAACGTTGGGTCTATGAATTGTAACTTCTCGGTTACTTTCAGTCCATTTTACAGTTGCGTGCTTGGTTGCCAAGCCTTTGAACAGGAGTGAAGCTGAAGATGACCTTGTTATGATAAAAACCGTGCTGCTTTTGAAATGTAAATGACTTTGTTATCAAGCTAACTAGATACTGGTCTTTATCACAACGTGGCCAACTTCAGCCTGACCCCAAATCAAGGGCTTGGCAACTAAGTAAACAGCTGTAAAATGGACTATGCATTAAATCTTTAAACCAGAATAGCATCAAATCATGTTAAATTGTTAAATGTTTACACGTTTTGTTCCGAAAACGGACTTTTTTTAATTGTATTCCGTATCTGTTTAATTAAACAACTTATTCCTGTAAGTGATATATTTACAGGTTTTTGTTTTTTGTCGTTGTTGTTGATTTTAGTCAATTAAACAAAATCTTACTTTTAGAAATTATTATAGAAAGATTAGCACCTTACTTTTCCTTAGTACCTAGCCAATGAGAGTTATTTTTTCGGTCATTAGCTTAAGCTATGTAGTGAAAGTTGTTTATCGACCAGGATCAGTGTAAATGTTGTTTGAATGTTACTTGATCAAGCTTTGTAAAATGAATCATTTTAGGTCCTGAGGAATGTAACTGCCCATCAAATAACGTCTTGTTGGCCATAATTGGGGTTCTTGCCTTCACAGTCCTTCTTCTAATTATTTACATAATCTGGCTACATAAGAAAGGTAGGTAAAAAAATCATAATCTATGTTAGAGGGTTTGGCTGCAAGATTCATTTTTATACAAAAGCAAATTTTGACTCACATCCCCATCATTTGTTTTTTCTTTTTCATTTGTCTTCCTTTCGTTCTTTTTCAGGCGCTGTAGGGAAACAGAGGTAATAATTTGCTTCCACTTGGATTGTGTCGTTATACTGTGCCAGATATGGTTTCATCTTAACACAAAATTCTACTTAAAACTGATGAAATTCTCAGCTTTTTATAAATATTCGTATGCTTTCTTAATTGTAGGACTTATGAAGATGAAAGAGGTGTTTACGACGTAAGTAACAGCAAGAACATTGAGATCATGTTAGTGTGACCAGAAATTATGTAATCTCACATTACATCTACTTTCTACAAGAAAACAAACGCTTGCAACAAATAGTAAGGAAAATAAGTGTAGTTTTACAAGAAAAAAAAGCGTATTGCATTAATGAAAGATACAATGAAATAGGGGAGGAAGTTAGACTCGATAAGGTCTTTATCCTGTGATCATGTCCTTTACCAGGCTACTCCATGGATTTTCCTCCGATTGTTCCTGGTTCAAATACGTGGCTTCACTTCATAGATCGCTAACTGGTCTGCACCTGGTTGATGTTTGTTTTCTAAATAATTGTTATCTTGATGCCTTATTTTCTAAACGTTCGTCTGAGAGCTGAGTACAGCAAGTGTTTTTCTGTGCGTGTGTGTCAAAAAATTGCACAACCAATCGACAATCTTCATGTTGCATTTTGTAGCTTCGGCAAATATGCTATGAACCTCGAACCTCGATAACTCCATTGGAGCAGAGGACAAAATGTTAGTAATAATAAGGACAATATAGATTATAAACTATTTGCTACTTTTGTTATGCAAGAATGTAAAGGTTTGTCTGATGAAAATGGGTGAACTGATTTTTATAACCATGTGGAACTTTTTACTGGGATTAATAACGGATTTGTATATGAATACCTTAACGTTATGTTGGTTTAATAGAATGAAACAGGATTAGGAGATATCGAGCCAAGTCTGCCCGATTCAAGAAAACTCACCCAACCTCTTGCGGAGTACATGGATCTCAAAGAAGTCAACAAAGATAATAGAAAAGGACAAAGAAGTGCTTCAGGTGCTGATTACGTGCCTCCTCATCCGTTAACGCACTGCTGGGAAGTTCCACGACATCACGTGACCATAGAAAAGATAATTGGTAAAGGTGCTTTTGGTCAGGTTGCCAAGGGAAAAGCAGTAGGACTTCGAGGGAGTCCTGAAACGACCACAGTGGCTATTAAGATGCTGAAAAGTGAGCTTCTGTACCGTAAATCGAATGACAGTCTTTGCTTACAGTCATTCAGGAAATGTTACCGCGTTACAGTATTTTTTTAGCTATTTGCCATTTCATAACTTGTGTTGTTATTTTGGCATTTCGCATATTATACCTGTTAACCAAATTTTACTCCTTGTTTTTAACGCTCCAGCAAACGCTGCTGAATCGGACAAGAGAGATTTGATGAAAGAACTTGACACAATGAAGCAGCTGAAACCACATCCTTACGTCATTAAACTTCTGGGATGTGTTACAGAATCTGGTATGCTTTGGTTATGCGGGTCTAATTTTGCTGTACACATTTTGCTTATAATTTACCCAGTAACGCTTTCTAGTCTTTGATAAATTGCTTCAATGGAAAAGTCACTGCTTCACTATGAAGCACAACAAAAAGCCATAGCATAAGGTAATTTAATCTTTTTTTAGCCAACATAAACGCTCCCGGATTTACTGTTAGACGAAGACCAAATATTTGCCACTGAACAGACCATTCTGTTGTTTAAGCAGAAACGCGTTTTGTAAGGGAATATTTGTGGTGTACCTTCTTATGAGACCGTCACATAGTTTTTCATCTTTTCTTAGTAAAACTACATCTTGTTTTCGTGTGGTTTCTTCTACAGTTTTAACCATGACCGGACCATTTATTTATTTATTTTATTTATTGCTAATTTTTTCTGAGAGAGAGAGAGTAATATGTGAATTAAATTGGTTAATTTCTTCAGAACAGCTGTTGGTTTTGATTGAATATGTGCCTTTTGGGGATCTGCTGGGTTACCTGAGAAAGAGCCGTGGATTAAAAGACACTTACTACAAAGACCCGGATATCAAACCACAAACAAATCTGACGTCACAGCAGCTGATGAAGTTTGCTTGGCAAATTGCTGATGGAATGAGTTACTTGTCCTCAAAATCTGTGAGTTAATTGAAAAAAAAAACACAAACGACAAACGATTTTAAAGCCTTCTTGGGAGGTGTATCGTCATGTTGAGTTTCCTCTTGCATAGAATGTTATGTCTTCACAAGATCACGCCCAGGAGAAGCAAACGTATCCTTACCGTCTTGTTGACGCTATTTTTTTAGGGCCGGGAACCCTCGCAATCTTGACGTCATCATCTAAGTTTTATCTCAGTGTATGAATGACGATATTTGTGCATCGTTGCAAATGCACCCTATTGAAATAAAATATCTGGCAGAGACGTGGATAAATAGGATCTTTTAAGATATTCTGCGCAAACTGAGTGTACAACGAATATCCATATTAGTGACAAGAAAGAAAAGGAATTAAAACTTGCAATTTAAAGATTACAGAATCCTATTTCGATTAAAATCTTCAGATAAGCGTTGTATGAAATAACTACGTATTGCAGAATAAAGTAGTTTGCTTCTCTTTGGAATATGGGGCAGTAATTATAGTAAACTAATTTTCTGCCCTCTGGAATAAAGAGAAATACGCAGACCAATTCTTTCGTAGATCATTCACCGAGACCTTGCGGCCCGTAATGTGTTGGTTGGACAAAAGGAAACTTGCAAAGTGACAGACTTCGGAATGGCCAGAGATGTGCAGCAGGAAAATATTTATGAACGAAAGACTAAGGTAATCAAGAAAGAGGGGAGGTGGGGGCGGTTCTACATATTGTTCAGTTTAGTGATCTTCCACAATCATTGTTGTGGTTGAGCGGATATATTCCTGATTTTGATCATGAAATCTTGGATGGGACCCTAATGAAAAAACTAGCCATGCGTATACGAGTACAACTTTAAATATCACTGTCTTTGACCAGTCGCTTCCTATAATTTTTGAGCTGTTTCACAAAGTGATATTTAAAATCTTTAGGGCCGTCTTCCCGTGAAGTGGACAGCTTATGAGGCCTTGTTGTATGGTAAATATACCACCAAAAGTGACGTGTAAGTATACCGATTATTACCCTTAGCAATTTCCAACGAGTTTTATCAATTTTAATCAGGACATGAATTCAATGCTTTGTCAAAGAATACATATGTTTTAGTTGTCGTATATAATGTTAATGTCTTCAGTCACCAAATCTATATTTGTTTTATTTGTCATTCTACAGATGGAGCTATGGAGTTTTGCTGTACGAGATTTTTACCATAGGTAACATCGAATGGAACTCTATGAGGATATGTTTGGTTTTTTGCTGTATATTTACTATGTACCGTGTTCAGGTAGACAAACTTCATGAGCTTCCCCATGCAACCATAAACTCCATCAAGTGACACAGGTGGTGTTTCGGTGAAGGTCTGTTTTTCGTCAAATTTATATTTCGATGGTCTTGTGGTTCTTCCAGGCGGTTCACCTTACCCAAGAATGGATGGAAGAAAAACTGCAAACTTACTGCAGGATGGATACAGGATGCCTAAACCACAACACGTCGATGAAAAATTGTAAGTTTCCTTTGTTACCTCGTTCTCCCTCATAGTACAAGAAACGTTCTTTAAATATTTAACAGATCATTTGAACAATACCAGGTATGAGATCATGATGAAATGTTGGAAGAATGACCCAGACGCAAGACCAACTTTCACTGAATTGAAAAATCAGCTTAAGGACATGGAAACCCTACACAAGGTGAGAATTTTGACCAACATGAAAATAAGGAATAATAGCTAATAAGGGTTAAACATAACAGCATCGAGCCTAAATAGCGTAGTAATATGTTCCCATCTGTAATTTTTACGAAGTTTGGATCACATCTTCTTGTTATGTCACTGAAGCAAAGACGTGAACTAAAATGTGTCAACGACAATTGACGTTTAGTGGCTATTTAAAGGATCACAGGAGGATTGCAAAACTGCATTTAGACGCACAAAGAGTAGCAGACGACAAAGCCATAAAATACTTTCTCCTTGAATTTGTCTTGATGTAAAAAAGCTGACAACTTTTGAGGATAACCGCTTTTTACTTAAGAGGAAAACTTTTTTACTGATGCTGATTATTATATTATTTTTATCTGCAGAAGCTGATCAACATGACAATATACGACAAGCAGTTGTATGCAAACGTCGAGGATCTAATTGTGTAGTTAGACGTCCATAGTGTGTGACTGGCTAACATTTTGAACATATCGCCCAAACAAGTTTCAGGGATTAATCATCTTTTCCTTATACGTTTACTCGGTAGAAATAGCCATGTTTTGTTTAAAGGTTAGGCTGGAACGTTGTAATTCAACTGACTTTATATTCTTAAACGCTGAAACGTTTCTTTAAGTTTTACCGATAAAGTATACTCTCATTTCCTCTTTAACATATCAAGCACTTACACGTATGCTTGACACAAGCGTTTGTGTTCAGTTAATTTCTGGTTCAATTCTAAAAGGCAGAAGAGCGCGGAAAAAAATCCAAATTACCAGTCAGATTGATGCTCTGAGTGCCATAGTTGTGTACAATTTTAGTGAATTGCGGAAAAAAATTTGCCGCAAAACCCTTTTGTCTACAAGAAAGCTAATCGTGCGCATATATTGCTTTCCCAAAGACCGCCTTTACTTGCGATACCAACTCGAAATACTTTTACTCTGAAATTATTGGTAAAACTAACGGTATAATAATCAAAATTGTACTAGGCACATCTAGTACAAGTCCGCTAGCGGATTTGGATCCCCCAACAAAACTGAGTGAAAACATCATCCTGATGAAAATGAGCGGAGAGTTCCAATAGTTCCAATAGTTCAGAATAGAAACATTTTTACTTATCATAGGCTTTACGAACGACTTGTAGTAGGAGTAGTTTCTTTGTTCTCGTTCAGAAACTGTTTAATGTTATTATTTTAGAAAATCAGACTGAGTTATTTTTGTGACTGGACGCAATAGTCTCCACTATTGTTATGACGTTTCGTATCAATGTTGATTCGCATCAGAAGAAGCAAAGATTTATTGTAACAATTTCATTAGTTCGAATGCAGTAGTTTTTTCACATCTAATTTTTGCGTATACTGTACGACTGGCTCCAATAAATGCAGTAGAATTGGAACGAAATGGCTGGGGTTTTTTTTTTTACCTTTATTGAGGAATGTTGTGTTGTGATTGAAAAGGACATCGATCGATCATCAAAAAGCTTGCAAATAGAACTAGTTACCAAACATGATACAAAGGATGCTTAAAAGGAAAGTTTGGTAGGAGAGTTCAAATCTGCGAAAGGGGAGTCCATATCCGCCAGCGGATTTGGACCGAGGGGGCATTTGCACTAATCCTCCTGGAGGGCATTTTATAGGGATATTGCAGCCATCGACGGCTGCCCAGCAACATGGGAACTGCCAGAATTCCTCAATGTCCAGGATTTTGTCCTTAAAAGCTTCTGTAGAATCAGGCATGTGTACTGAAACACAATTGTTTCACAAGTGATTAACTGGTACTTGTGAAACCTCTTCAACGATAGAGCTTACTGTTGAAACTCTTCTTCCAACCATTTCTGCAATCCGATAATAATAGTCTCCCCTTCCAAGTCTATAAAAGCATATGGCAAGTCTTTCGTCAGGTGAGATGTCTTTCAGTATAGGCTCGATACGGTCCAGAATGTACCGAAAAGTCGCCCGAGATATCGCAAAGGTCTTTTTAAACCGTTCCACACATTTTCCCCATATCCAGTGATTCTTATCAGTCGTCGACATGATCGGTGTCTGGGAAGCTGCATCATTAGCGGGATTAAACAAACGCTTAGCAGACGTCTTCTTCTAGCGATTAAGTAGCTGACCGTTGACTGTATCATCGACCTACGCCTTCCGGTGTTACAAAACATACGCTGAATGAAACGAAAAGAGTTTTCGTAAGCTTCACCAAACATGCTGTTGTCCGCCATTTTGTATACAGCCTGTTCGAGAGGAGACTAGGAATATTGAAGGCGGACGTAGTTAAATTCACACCATTCAATTCGAAGTATGAATCAAATGTCGCTTTTTATTGTTTAAGTCGACTAAAGTAAGAGTTACATTCGGCACATGTGAAATGCGACGTTTCAACCGGGCCTAAGTTTCACTAACCGGGTTATCACAGTTTGACCGTCGCTTCTGACATCTCGTTGTAGGGACAAAAGTCTCAGTTCACTGTGTGATGTAATAGCTATTGCCATTTCAAAATGAAAAAAAAAACGTGATCGTTTTTTTACTTATTGGATGGAGCGGAGGCGAACCGCAAGGTTCACTTTCTGGAGTTAAGGCTCCGGCCTCGCGTCGGAGCCGATCCGCGTCCGAGACACCGTCAGGTTGGGAGTTTGGCTGGGGCGGCACATCTGTCAAATGATAACGCAGGTGTCCTAAGGCGAGCTCAGCGAGAGCAGAAATCTCGCGTAGAACAAAAGGGTAAAAGCTCGCTTGATTTTGATTTTCAGTAGGAATACAAATCGCGAAAGCGTGGCCTATCGATCCTTTAGTCTTGAGGAGTTTTAAGCTAGAGGTATCAGAAAAGTTACCACAGGGATAACTGGCTTGTGGCAGCCAAGCGTTCATAGCGACGTTGCTTTTTGATCCTTCGATGTCGGCTCTTCCTATCATTGCGAAGCAGAATTCGCCAAGTGATGGATTGTTCACCCACCAATAGGGAACGTGAGCTGGGATTAGACCGTCGTGAGACAGGTTAGTTTAACCCTACTGATGAGACGTTGTTGCAATAGTAATTCTGCTCAGTACGAGAGGAACCGCAGATTCAGACCGCTGGCATTTGCACTTGGCTGAAAAGCCAATGGTGCGAAGCTACCATCTGTTGGATTATGACTGAACGCCTCTAAGTCAGAATCCGTGCTAGAAAGCAACGATAATTACCTCCGGATTACGGTTAGGCGAACAAGAATAGAGGTCCGCTCGTCGGTCCTCGTGCGTCTCCAGGTGCCATGGGGGACAAGAGCCCCCTTTGCACTACCGATAGCCAACTCGAACGTTTCCGGAGATAAACCCTCTACGTAACTAGTCGTAGCTAGTACATCAATTGTTGAACCGTTTGCATTTTGAACATTCAGTTTAAGTGCTAGTGAAGTATGATTGAACATTCTTGTTCGACTGATTATCAATATCGAAAGGTTGAAATCTTCTTTAAACCTCTGCGGAAAGTTTTAAGGTTAGAAGAAGTCTTCCATGTACCGGGAAGACCACACTGAACTCATTCAACTCCAAATTTTGATTAGAGCCTCTTCTTCCGCCGAGTCAAGATAACTTCTCGATTTTCTTCAGTTTCATTTTTTTTCAAATCACATTCGCCTCGGCAGTCTGAAAGCATCTTGCGAATGTTTCTTCAGAGAGTTCGAAGCGCCCGTTTAATAATCGATTGTAAATTGGAGCTGACAAGCCTACACGACATCGTAGTACGTCAAGTTTTCTGTATATTTGTTTTAAGTGCCGCTCTCGCTAAGTGCGGTCCTCTCGACTTCCCGTCGGAGAAAATTTTGTCTTTCATTTTTTGCCCATGAAAAGGGTTTAGGGCACATGTTTCAAAAATGGTTTATTTGTTCTCCAATTCTCCTTTTTTGTGTTGCCACAAGCCAAATATGATTTTTGGCCAGACCACCCCTGTGAACAGCGATCGAAAGTGTAAATTTCAAAGATTTTGTCCAGTGCGCAGCGACTTCAACAATGTAGTTCACGGAATTCTATCTTGCTACAAGTTACAAGACTTATTCAGCTAGGTCGCAGACAAAATATGGAAACTTCAGCTGAAATATTTTTCATACCAGAGTGATCAGAGGAGACCCTTCTCTTCGACCTTAATTTGCATATCAAAAAGTCACTACTTTGTACGAAAGAATTCTCAAAATGCAGGCGTTAATCGGGCTGAAAAAGCATATACACCATATACAAGTTTATACACCAATGAGATCACGGATTACCTCAAACCCGCGGTTATATCTCTAGCTTCGATCCACAAACTTCTTAAAAGCAACGCAAATCTATGTGTTTGCTCAATTGCGCTCGTGTCAAAGATCATTTGCATGATTCTGAAAATTGACCAAGATCTCCTTTTGACCGTTCACACTTCGTTCCTTTATCTTCTACGTTGAGGAATTTAGGTTTTCATAGCAACTGAATGGAGAATAGATGCCGAGTTGTCCTAAAACGTTGCGTAAACGTGATCGGTCGTAACGCTTGCGCGCTTGCGTGACTTACAAAGTAGACAAAGGTGATCGGAAGGCGCCTTCTCGATAATTTACGTTGAAATATCAGGTCAAGAACTACGCACAGTGTGGAGAAGATCAAAATTAAAGAATAAAATTTGGCTTTCTGCTCATAACAGACATATGGCGTTGCTTAAAAGGACACAAAAACAAGTTAAAATTGGTTACAGTGTTCATATTTACAAAACAACACGCGTACACTCTGAAATAATTTTAGCAGTTTCTCCCGAGATTTAGTTCACGGAACCCGATGAACTAACCCTCCTTTCCGCAGATTTGTTTCCATCATTAATGATGTTACGCTCTTATGGACCACAACGGTTTTGAGCGACAAACTCGACATTTCCCTGCGACCATCAAAATCAACCGGACAAACCCGGCTTGATGTATTGAATTAGATAGAATTCCGTGAGCTACATTGTTGAAGTCGCTGTGCGCTGGACAAAATCTTTGAAATTTACACTTTCGATCGCTGTTCACAGGGGTGGTCTGGTCAAAAATCATTTTTGACTTGTGGCGACGCAAAAAAAGAGAATTGGAGAACAACTAAACCATTTTTGAAACATGTGCCCTTAACACTCTTCTTGGGCAAAAAATAAAAGAAAACTTTTTTCCGACATGAATTCGAGAGGACCGCTCTTAGCGAGAGCGGCACTTAAGTGTTAAAGGCTCACACGGCTCCAAAGTATGTCGGTTTTCTTGCCTTCGTTATAATTTTGTTCTCTCGAGTATATCTTTGAGTGGACGCCCCTTTCTGTATGATACTTTACTTCGTTCCGGAGCGAGCGGTGTCTTGTATCGAGAGGTTGAAATCTTCTTTAAATCTCTACAGAGAATTTTAATGCTAGAAGAAGTCTTCCATGCGTCGAGGCCGCGCTGACCTCTTCCTACCCCAAATTTTGGTTAGAGCCTCTTCTTCTTCCGAGTCGA